GCCGACCTGTAGTGCCACACTCGGCGAAAGCCATTCGGTTTAAACCGTGGGCAACCCGAGATAGGCACTGAGGTCCGGATCAGGCAGTGGTCCGACGAGCCCAAGGGGGCGTCGGCAGAAACCTGGTAGCTGTCCGGATGAGAGGTCAGCAGAAGGTCCAACAGGGAAGGCGTATGATCTGCCACATCAGGGATTCGCGTGGGCGCGGCGACCAGCTGCGTCAGATCATAAGACAAGGCAAAGTCGTGGACAGATCTCCCCGCGTGGTCGGTGGTACGAGAGCCAAGCCAATCGGCATGGTGGGCGTTGAAGTCGCCAAGTACCACGATTTCAGCGGAGGGGATCTGTGCCAGAACGGAATCTGTAGCCGTTTGGACTTGCTCCATGAGTCGGTCTGTTTCGGCATTACCGCTATGGGACCTATAGAGGCACGCGTAGACCCGCGGATGGACATCGCCATCTACGCGCAGCCACAAAAGAGATAGATCCCTACCTTCAAGAAGGCTGAGGCGACGAGAGCAGACATCCTCTCTGACGTACACGCATACCCCAGCCCGGGGCAAAAAGGAGTGTTCCAGTTTGTATCCGGGGCAGGATAAGTACGATGTGTCCGCCGGAGAGAATATCTGTGTCTCGGTAAGGAAAAGCAAGGCCGGCTTGGCCGTCCGGAGATGGTAGTGGACGGCCTCTAAGTTGGAATGGAGCCCCCTGATATTACAGAAGTCCACAGCGTGGGTGGAAGGGGGCGGTAATGTCTGGCCTCGTTTGCCCCGGCCTTTAAAGCGAGCGAGCGGAAAGGTGCCCCCCCAGAATACGCAGGGCGGCCCGCGCGCTTACCCCCAGACTCCAAGCGGGAGTTCAGGCGTAAGCGCGCGGAGGGGGATTCTCCAAAACCAGTGGTTTTGGTACCCCCCTGGGGTACTTTCTCTTTCAATCCCACTGCCATGCTGTATTAAAGGGGGGGGGGGGGTTGGGCCTCCGGGACCACTTACTTATTACTTGCACCCTTGAGGGTAACAATTTTACAAACATTAAATGTAATATTTAATTATATCAAATTAACATCGACATCACATGGGACCGAAGAGCTGGCAGCTACCTCGGTCAAAGAATCAGTTTAGCTATCCAAAGAGGGAACGCTGTCAGTATCTTCGTAACCTTGCCTAAAGGGACTCCTTTTAATAATATATTTTAGTTAATTATTCGTTTTTTTTTCTAATATTTTATTTTATATCATAGATTTAATATGTAATTATAGAAATAAGGATGTATAATAAATTTCTTTTCGATTTTTTATTAACATCCGAAAAAATAAGTTTCAAACTTCCTATCTGTAAAATTGACCATACTTCCATGCAAATTTCGAAGCACTTTACAACCCATTTTAGCGTTAAAAAGTAGCCTATATCTTTTCCTAGGCTCTATACTATCTGTGTACCAAATTTCATATAAATCAGTTCAGTAGTTTTTGCGTGAAAGGACAGAGTTACTTTCGCATTTATAATATTAGTAAGCGTGTTAGTTTCGTGACAAAGTCCCTTTATTTCAACAGTGGATTGGTTTAATTATTTTATTAAATAGAAGTGCGTATTTAAACAGCCTGCAGTGTTTTGTTTTTCTATTAGAAAGATGGTCTAATATTTCATCCTATCGTTGAAAATAGTGAATGGTGGTGTAATGGTTATCAAGAGTTTCTGAGACTAAAATCTCCTTTATTAGTAGTCTATGTGTTCTTCCAGACTATGTTCTACATCTATATTAAATTTCGTCAAGATACATGCAGCCGTTTTGGAGATATCTTCTGACATACATCTAAACATTCGCATTTTTTTATGTAAGATTTATTTATTATATAATATTATATCATGAATAAAATACAATATATGTATAATTTTTCATTTATTTACACATATTTAAACAATGCAAAACCATAGACAAACGAATTATTTTTTTACGTAATTTTTGAAATTTCACAAAATACAGATTAAATATAATCATTTGATTTAACGATGTAATTCTTCATAGTCTCTGGCAACTCCAAAATGATGATCTTACGTACATCAAATTCAGAATCATCTGGTACATGTTCCATCTAGAAAATATAACCAATAGATAATTAAGCTTGTTATAACTACGATATAAAAAATTCATATTAGTTAATGTTCACAAGTTGTTGAGAGTCGAGAGCTCACGCAGTCGTTGTTTAAGAGGCCTCCTACAAATCACCCCCCAGGCCTCTACACAACGCCCCAATTTTGGGTCTCTTACCCTTAGGACCTGCAGCGCCCACACGTTCTTACCGTGAAGGAAAACATGTTGATACTGCACATATGAAAGTCAAAGATATGTGTGAAGTGACCCACTGGACCAGCATTCACTATGACATAGTTAACTTAGGGTAGACTGAGACCTTCAGTGGGGACTTAGTTACCTGATGATATAGTAAGTTCCATATTACCTCAGCAAAGTCTCCTCTTTTCTTCTTTAAATGGTTGAAACAGCATATTCTAAATCTCCTCGTGCCACACGCGGGCACGCATTCAGTACCACAAGACTCGCATGACAAACTGGCTGCACAAATGTGCCCTAAAATCGAAGAAAAAAAAACAATTAAAAATAAAACGGACGAGATGAACCTCCTTTTTGAAGTCAGCTTAAAAATTATTGTATTTGTAAATGGATAGGTGATTACTTGGATGACAGCTTTTGTATCGTTCAGATTTAGGCGTGCCTGTTCATGTTACATGACAGTTAATTCTATCTATATTATTAGTTCGAGTCCAAACCACCGTTACAAACCTCTACCATCAGCGCTACAATGGTAGAAAACAAATAGGAACAAAATACTTCGTATTTTAGCCAATCCATTTACAGACGTCAGTGATTTTTAAATAAAAATTATAAAATGTTTTGTGTTTATTGTTTAAATACGATAAAGTTAAACTATTTTTAATAATTTAATAAATTAATTTCTATTTAAAATATAAAAATGAATTAAGAAAAAAAAGATCGAATTTTATTTTATATATGAGAATTAATTGCGACATTTTTTACTATGCTTAATTAATAATTAAATTAAAAATGATTACTAACCGAATGCAATTAAAAATAATACGAATAAAAATTTCAACATTTTTTTCAATAAATCTGTTAAATTGGCGGAAAAAATTATTTTGACATGTCCGAAAAGATGGCGGCCGTTGAATGAGAGAAGGAGCGCGTCATCTTACGTTTTATAGAAGAATAAGTTTGCGTTTTATTCCTATTGTTTGTTATCCATTATCATAGACAAGATAAGTATAACATATTGATGGTGTACGTAAATATTTTCCACTTTCATGAATAACTGTGGGAAAAAGAATCAACAAACTTTTCCGACCCAGTGATAAGTAAGAATAAATTATGATAGCTAATAAGAGCCTTTTTATATGTCCAAAGTGTCACAAGAGGGGCAAGACAAAGTATATAACATTCGTTTATCGCTAATAGAATCGACAAAATGCGTAAAAACCTTACTAATATTATAAATGCGACTGTTTGGATGTATGTTTGTAAGAAGATATCTCCAGAACAGCTGCATGGATCTCGATGAAATGTGACATAGATGTAGAACATAGTCTGGAAGAAAACATACTTTTTTAATTGCGCAGACGAAGTTGCGAGTGACAGCTAGTTTATTATAAAAATACGTAAAATGCCGTGGCATATCTACAGTAAGGGTGACTTCCATACATTTTTGACTTTTCTTGTCTTCTTGTCATGTTTTTTAGGGTTCCGTACCTCATAGGAAAAAAAACGGAACCCTATAGGACCACTTTTTTGACCTGTCCGTCTGTCAATAATAACTTTTTTCTCAAAAACGAGTGAGGGTATCAAGCTGGAATTTATTTCATATGATATGTAAAATCTAAAGGCATTTTATGCCTTTTCTGAGAGAAGTAACCACACTAACAGCGTCTCACCGGGCCAAATAAATTTGTCGTTCTATAAATTAAATATCAGTCCATTTTATGTCTCGCAAAGTTATTTCTCCTTAGAGGCTTAAACTGAAGTAAACATCTTTCATTCATGAAACAGTGGTAGAGCGAGCTTTAACATCTTCGCACGAATTGTCCCGGCTCGCCCGGTGAAATACCACGACCACACAGAAGACAGGCGTCAAGTGGAAGCAATTCCAAGTACAGTCTGATGAGTGTGCGTCCCGGAGGACTAATTTAGTCCTCTTTCCCTTCCCACCCTTTTCCTTATAAGGAAAGGATGGTAAGTGGAAGTGGACTTTTCGGATGAGAGGAAGCATGGAAAGGGAAAATATTTTCTTTCTGTGCATCCTCTCCTTCGTCGATTAAAGGTAGGCAACGCATATGGAATTGCGTATGTCTATGAGCAACGGTCACTTCGCTACTTCAGCGATTTCAGGTGACCGCTCGCTCGTTTGCCATCTTATGATATAAAAAAAAAATACAAAGACTTTGGATTCAGAAATCAACGTAAGAGTAAATTAAAAACATTCATTTGGAGAAAAGGTTTTATTGACTCTTCATGTCTTAATATATTTTTTACGCACAAATATAGCTCTGTCATAGAATAATTCAGCCACAGATTATGTAAAGTATCTTTATTGTTAAAAATAATTATGACATAACCTAAAAATTACAATAACTGCTCTATTTCAATGAAAAATATCTAATTAAGAGTAAAATTTTATAAATAAGTCACCTCCTAGAGTTTAAAATTAATTATTAGTCTATCTCTTAATTTGCATTAATTTTAATAATTTATGACAGATTAAAAATTAAAAAAAAAAAAATTACTTGTCATCTGTCAAAGTGTGAACAGACGAAAAATTATTCCATAATTTAAAATGAATTGTTGATTATTTAAATAAAAAAATAATTTTATTTAGAAACGCTACCGGTTCACAATATATTTATTTAATTTAATTTATAATTTTAATTTTTTTATAATTTATAATATAACCTCAAATTTTTTTGATCCAAATAGTATTCGATTGTTTAAATCCTGGTACGTTTTATTGGTTATATTATTTCTGCTTTCTGCGAAGTATTTCAGCGCTTGCCTCTTGGATGGCTTCCCACAGTTTGGCTTCGGAAAGAATTTGACGAGATAGCTCGTCAACCGCATTTTCAGATTCAACCAGAGATCCTAGAGTATCATCATCAACGTACTGAAAATAAAAGGAATATTAGAACAATAATAACCGTCACCCACGAATCTATCCGCACGAAACTAAAAAAAAAACTTAATAAGTAGTCTATGTGTTCTTCCAGACTATGTTCTATATGTATGACAAATTTCATCAAGTTCAGTTGAACTGTTTCGGAGATATCATTTAACAAACATCCATCTAAACATTCGCATTTATATTAGTAAGATGCCGAGCGCCTATTTCCTCGTGGAATTAAAAAAAATGTATGAATATACAGACATCTTTGTAACAATCATCTAGTTCCAGTCATTCTTTACTTATTTAATATCTATATATATATATATAAAAGAAAGTGGTGTTAGTTACACTATTTATAACTCAAGAACTGCTTTACCGATATGACTGAAAATTGTTGAGGAGGTAGCTTAGAGCCAGGAGACTGACATAGGATACTATTTATTCCTTTTATATTTAGATGGATGTGATTTAGATGGATGGATGGGTGTTTGAAGATATCTTTACAACGGCTGAACGGATCTCGATTAAATTTGGCATACGTATAGAACATAGTCTGAAAGAACACATAGGTTTCACTAATTAAGTTTTTATATATCCACGCGGACGGAGTCGCGGGCGACAACTAGTTATTTATAATATTAATAAGAAACATGATTTGATATAAACAAAAAAGTAATGAGATTGAATGTGGATGTCTACAAAGGTAAAAGACCAAAGAAAGTATTGTGTGAAAGAGGATGTGTAAGAAGGAGGTGGATTCAGATATACCAGCTGATAGAGATGTATGGAGTACATCCTGTGCTGATCCTCTGTAGGGATAAGGGAAGGTTGAAGAAATAGGATTTTAATTTACCTGTCTCTGACGTATGATGTCCTGGGGCATACCGGGAGCATATTGAGAGCGTTTTCGGCCACATCCTAAAACACAAATTAAAAAAAATCAAACCAATTTTTTATTTTATTCTACCGTAGTATTGCACGTCGGTGGTTCAAGGGTTAAGCACTTGACTTGTCTGCAGGTCCTGGGTTCTCCCGTCTTGTACCAATGTGTTTTTCCATACAAAGTGCTGGTGCCGGTATTTACATCCTCTTTATAATAATTCTGACGCTTGACTTTGTAATGAAAGCACGTCATTCGCGCCAAAGGACTAATAATAATAAAATATGTACATTTATCTTATGTTGTTAGTGTGAAGTAAAACATCGTGATGCTGCACATATCTGTGAATGTCAAAGATATGTGTGAAGTGACGCACTGGACCAGCATTCACTATCACATAGTTAACTTAGGGTAACGAGAACCTCAAAGTGGACATATAGTGAGCTTGGATGCCCAAGATTTTATTTATAATTATGTCATATAATTACCAGTGAATGCGTTGCAAAATGGTCTCTTCTTTGGTGTCATGATGACGTCATCAGTTAGCCTCGAGTCGAAGTTTCGCGGTATCTGTAACAAACGTTGTAATATATCGTTTTCTCTTTCATTCCCTTTTAAGTAACGGAGACAACATTATTTTTTTAAACACTTGCAGGAAACAAAAAAAAATTGATTAATACGATTAATTTCATGTAATTAATTATTCAGGTTCGTTCCAAATTATTAATGTATTTTTAATTCATTAATATAGTTTTTTTTTATTGTATTTAAAATGTGTAAAATACTCACGGTGGCAGAATGGCAGGATTCCATGTACAAAGAAGCGATGACGATGAGTAACAATACGCGGGAGAAAGACAACATGGCGGATGACATTACTTTTTAATTTTCACGATAAATTGATCTGCGGACAAAAATAAAATGTATTTAGGATGGATGGATGTTGGAAAAACTACTGTGGATACATATAACAACAACGAAAAGGGTTTACGATGTTTTTTAGTAAATATATAATTTTAAACGGATGGCAGTTCAAAAATCTAAAAGCGACATCTAGCGGCTAGATGAATGAATTAAAAAATGAAAATCGTATTACTAAAAAATGTTTACTAGAATTATACCAAAGATACCCTTGCTAAAGGTTGACAACCTCGTCGCGCACAGCGGGCTACGCGCCCCCACAGAGAGGGTTGCAAAAACATTCACTTAATATTTTAGTAATGCATTTAAAAATTTAATGTAAGTAAACTTTAACGATATATTTTTATTTATATAACGTATAGTATTTATTTTAGTTTTTAAATCTACACAATCTAAACATGACACTAAATAGCCATGGCCAGATTATATATTTAAGCCTTAAATGAAAACAAAAAATCTTTTTTTCTAACAAAAATGGAAATTAATAATAAGTAATTAGATATTTTAAATAAACGCCATCTAGTAACAATTTGAAACACTTGAAGGTTAAAAACCTACTGATACCGGAAAATTTTACTAGATGGCGCTGTAATTTAACTATATCGATTTCAAGAAATAGATATTAAAAACGCTGTAAGCCTAAAAGCCATGGTTTAAATGCTTGGAATTAAAACAACACATTTTACGCTTAGTAATTGACATAAATTAATGAGACATTTGTTTAGAAAAGAGACGAATAAATATAAATACGTTCAAATATTTACCATCTGAACAGCAAACTCAATAAAACGGCAGACTTAAGTTACGACGTAAAACTCAACAATACGTGTTCTTTACCTTTAACTTAAATTCTACTTTACAACTTGATAGTTGAATTAAGTTAACTGTTACTTAATCTAATTTTGTCAACTTCGACTTATGTTGAAAACAGAATTGTCATTTGTTTTTCTTATTATTTTCTAGTCGAGTTTACGAATTCTTTAGCACGGAATTAAAAAAATAAGTGAATGAAAAGATTAATTGTTTAAGCTTATTAAAAAAAAACAAATATCCTAGTCTAAAAAACGAGACATATTTTAAATAAAAAGTCAGTCATTTAAGAGTTATTCAAGACGCTAAGATCCGTTAATAAATCCCCACTAAGGGTCTCGGGTACCCTAAGTGTGACTAGGTGATAGTGAATGCTGGTCCAGTGCGTCACTTCACACATATCTTTGACATTCACAGATATGTGCAGCATCAACATGTTTTCCTTCACACTAACAACATAAGATAAATGTACATATGTAACACATAAGTACATGACGGGAGAACCCAGGAGCTGATTACAAGTCAACTGCTAAACCCCTGAACAATGTTACTTTATCGTAGTACAAATTGCGCCAAAGCTATCTACAATTCCCAAATTGACCGCACCCAAATTGTCTATGGTTATTACTGAATGTTACCACAATATTGTTAATAACTCACAATATGATGGCTTTACGTATCCTACGCATAATATTACGACAAAATAATACAACTTGGTAATTAAAAAAACAAACACAGATGTATATGACACTTAGGAGAAGAAGAATCGAATGACGCAGCTTTTATCGAAATCTGTTTCATGTCAAAGTTAATAAAATCAAATACAGAGACGCAAAACTTACTTTTATTATGATAAATATGAATAAAATCAGTCAATTGTCAGTAAAGTTTCGTACGATTGGGTTATTTTTTGGTAAAATTTTAAACAAGCCCAAATATTACGCGCGTAATTATAATTTTTTTCTTTTAAATTATATTCAACATCTGTGTTAAACGTCAATATCCGCTTAATTATTTGTAGATACGTAGCAACAAACATTAATTCAATCTTTCTTATTTATAATATTAGTAAGAAATGATAAATATAAATTTAATTTAAGATGACGGTGTGAGCATTTTTTAGGTTATGTTTTTAGTAAATTTCTTTTTAGTTTCTTAGTCCAAAGCATTTGTAATTTAAAGAAAACACACGTAAGAGTAAAGCAAGATGAAACGGAATGTTCTTAACGGAGTTATAATTTCCATTATTAAATTAAAGAATAACACATAGTTAATTTAAACGTATGTAACGTAACGTAACTATTATGCGCCTAAATTAAATATACACATGTCATGGCGGCCATTACATTACACTTTTTTAGGTTATGTTTTCAAAATTTATAAGTTTTTTTAATGTTATTAGATTAATTGATAATTTGACGTGTTAATAAAGAATTTGGATGATTCAAATCGTGTAAGTTTAAGTTAAATACGTTTAACAACGTTATAAAAAAATTAAATTAAATTATTTTACGTTATTAAATTTAGTAAAATAAATATATTAACAATAATAAAATGTCTACCAAAGACTTGGTTAAGGTTTAAAATACATTAAAATGAATGAAATTATTCACAAATACCGGTTTCGTGACTTTTTAAAGCCAGAATTTAAAAAAAATATCTTATATCCGCGTTTTTCAGCTACCTTCCGGACCAAGTCCTGTAAAAATATTTCTGTATATCTGTCCGCAAGACCGCGTTTGTTTCGTGTTAACTCCGGAACGGGTAGACCGATTTTGATGGGTATTTGTCAGGAAGGTAGAAGATGTCGCGGGAATGTTATAGGATACTTTTGGGTAGACGAAATCGATGGCGACCACTATATTAAAAAGGAGAACAAAAAACTTTTTAAATTTTTTAAAGATTTACCGAATGAATAAACGCGAAACAAGAACAAGAAATGCATAAAGATGTTTTGATACAAAAAATATTTGTGAGTAAACTATGGTTCAATTTTTTTATATTTTCTTACTAGATGTCGCCCGCGACACCGTCCGCGCGGTATTAAAAATAGATGTTTGCCGATTGTCAGACCTACTCAATATGCTTACAAAATTTCATGAGGACCGGTCAAGCCGTTTCGGAGGAGTATGGAAACGAAAATTGTGACACGAGAATTTTATATATAAGATATTGAATAAACCATTAATAGCCTTTATTTTGGACAATAAATATACATAAATATAAGTTTACTAGCGGACCGGACAGACGTCGTCTGACACTGTGATGGTAGCGCCGTCTGTCGGATCCAATGTAAAACATTCCAAAATCAACAACTACTATTAAATTAAAAATTAATTAAAAAAACATTGTCCAGCGGACAAAATTGTGAATCTAAACCATTCCCAGGTCGTTTGAGAGAAGTTCAGTGACATACACACTCACAGAACAATTATATGCATAAAGATTATTAATTATTTTGCAATCTTTATCTTTTTTTTTAATTTGACAAAGGCCTCCTTCATATTGGACCACATTATTCTGTTATAAAAACCATTTCTGACCGCAAACCCACTTGACCAATGGGTTACTTTACATGTCGGAACATAAACGAGCTTATGAGCTAAGCCTAGAAGAAGAAGAACTAGTACTTACCTCTTGTCCAAGCGACGAGTGAATGCAATCCAGAACGAACCTTCCCAGTATTTATACCGATCCCAAAGTAAGGGCGGTTAGAGAACAGCGATTGAATGGAATCTCTGTTAGGTGTAAATAAATTTGTAAATTAAAAAATGTTTTTTTTTATAGTGTGTGTAAAGTGTTTATTTAATTAGATTTTATTATGTTTTATAAGTAAGATTTTATTAAATTGATATATAAACACGGCTAAACACTCACGTATATTCGTCCGGTGCGGCCCGTCGCTATAATACCAGTACCACTCACCCTGATGAAGGGCCCCCGATGGGCTTGAAACTAGTCGGTGCCACCGGACGAATATACGTGAGTGTTTAGCCTTGTTTATATATCAGTTTAGTATAATGTCTCACGAAAGTTTGAATAGTTTAAGATTTTTATTATTTAAATTGTTTAATATAATTGTCTTAATTTTATTGATAGAATATTGACGTATTTCTTATCTTTGGAATTAAATAAACAAATAAAATAATGAAAATTAAAAAAAAAATGCTAATAAATTTACTTAAATTATCTAATTATATTCTTAGACTATTTTACTTTAACAATATCAATATTTTTTTTCTTTCTGTAATAATTATTTTATTTAGTTTCGACTCCACATATGTTCTGTTCAATACGATATCCCGCAGTTTTTTTCATAGCTTTGGCCAAAACGCCCGAATATATAAACGTTAAATATAACAACATACTTAATTAAATGCATATAATAATATAAAAGTAGGATTCCACTGTCATAACTCTTTTATTATAACAGCAAGTAGCTGCCGCCAGCGACTCCGTTCTTGATGTCGTTCCAATCTTAGTCTATGTGTTCTTCCAGACTATGTTCTACATCTATGACAAATTTCATCAAGATCCGTTCAGCCATTCTGGAGATATCTTCTAACATAATCTAAACATTCGCATTTATAATGTAAGTTGAGCGTCTGTTTTGTCCAAGGGAAGACGAAAAGTTTTTCAGCAATGAAGTACTACTGTTATAGACAATCTTACTAATATTATAAATGCGAATGTTTAGATGTATGTTAGAAGATATCTCCAGAACGGCTGCATAGATCTCGATGAAATTTGTCATAGATGTAGAACATAGTCTGGAAGAACACATAGACTACTAATTATGTTTTCTTAAATTCTGCGAGGACGAAGCCGAGACAGCTAGTTGAGAACATATTTTCTGTTGATAAAAGTACTGTATCGAAGTATGCAGAGGAAGATATGTACTGATGTTATTTCCTCTTTCTATACTATTAGATTTTATTTTAAAATAGCTATCGCCCGAAACTCCGTTCGCGCGGAATAAAAAAAAACGTAATTAGTAGTCTATGCGTTCTTCCAGACTATGTTCTACATGTATGACAAATTTCATCAAGATCTGTTCAGCCGTTCTGGTGATACCTTCTAACAAACATACATCGAAACATTCGCATTTATAATATTAGTAATATTAGTAAGATATGTTTTTTTTATAACTGAAGGGGGCAAACGAGCAGCGAAGACACCGAGGTGTTCAACGACGCCCATGGACATCAGCAATACCAGAGGAACTGCAGACGCGTTGCCTTTGAGGTGGTGATAAGCTCGCTTCTTGAAGGACCCTAAGTCGTAGCGGTTTGGAAATACCGCCGAGGACAGACCATTCCACAACGCTGCTATGCGAGGCGGGAAGTTTCGCGCAAACCGCACGGTTGTGGATTGCCAGCCATCGAGATGATGTAGATGGAACCTGGCGGTCTGTCATTTTAAAGATACCATAGACATAAATTTATACCATAAATGGAGCAGAATTTCTCATCAAGTTGAAAAAACAAATTTATTGAATAACGGACGGAAAGACGTGTGAGTTATTTTGTATATATTACAGCTATTTATCCTGATCATTGCTTTTGCCTAGTTTGTTTCGTATCGAGTACAAATTTAGTGTCAAATTGTTGTCTTTTTGTGTGTGAAACTATATTTTGGATAAAAATACTTAATATATAGATATGTTAAATAAAAAGCAGCTCTTCAAGGCATAAATTCGAACAAAAATGAATAAATAGTATCCTATGTCCGTCTCCTGGCTCTAAGCTACCTCCTCACCAATTTTCAGGCATATCGGTAAAGCTGTTCTTGAGTTATAAATAGTGTAACTAACACGACTTTCTTTTATATATATAGATTAGCTTTCGCCCGCGATTCCGTCCGCGCGGGTTTAAAAAAAGATTCCTAAAGGGTTTTCCCTACAAATATTCGAATTTATCACACCTTTTAAGCCTTCCTTAAACCTCGACAAACATTTCAAGACCAAGATAAGATAAATCCGTTCAGTATTTCTCGAGTTTTAGCGAGACTTAAGAACAGCAATTGATTTTAAAAAAGGTTTTATAAACTTGTTATTTTGTTTATATTAGTATGTTTTAGCATTGTTGGTTTGTGCTTAAAATAATTCGAATTCAACTTGGTATAATCTTTTAAATCCAGTCCTGCCTATCTCTGCCTACCTCTATGGGTTAAGGGCGTGATGTGTAATATTATAGGTTAGTAAAAATCCTAAAGTTTTTCTTAAGTTTTCTTTTGTATAATTTACAATGCTTCCATATCGTTTAACATCTGAAATACGAATAAAAAAATTTTTTTGGTATTCGATACGTCTTTATTTTTTTAAAGAAACCAACGAAATACTTAAGTCGAGTTATCGTACTGAATTTATTATTTATAAAAATAATAATTTGGTTATACGATATTTGTTTACTTTACGAATTCCGATTTTTTTCTATTCCTATTAACACTGGGGATTCTGACAAAGTCAAGTTTTTTTGAGGTTACAAGCCAAATGTTCGTATCACGTTGGTAGATGACGGAGTTCCTTATGTCATAGTTAATTAAAAAAACAAACTGTCAAAATAGTGTCAAAGCAAATGGCTTCATTAAAAATTATAAAAAATGTGTTTTGTTATGTTTTGCAAAAAAATAATTTAAAAATCATATTAAAATTCTGTTCATTTTCACAAATTAATTATGAAATTATAAATATATAATTTTTATTTAAATAATATCCTAGTAGTTGCCGGCGAATTCGTTCGCGCGAAATCTAAAAAATCTAGTCTTGACTTAATATGTGTCCCGGTGATATTGTGGCTTTTAACAGTGAAATTTTCAAATTAGTTAATTAGTTTCGGAGTAATGTAAACAGTCAAATATTTCCCCTTTATAATATTAGTATTGTAAAAATTAAATCGCAATTAAACTGGGTCATACATGTATAATTTTAGAGAACATATTCATACGCACATTAAAATTTCAAACTTCCAAACACCTTAAGGCTTGCATTGTTTAATGGAGATTATATGTTAAAAGCAACTAAGTTTAAAACAATCCTTAAACATCTTTAAAATAAACATTATTTTAAGGTTATTTTTAAAGCTTCACTTTCTATGTATGCACATACTGTTCAGTTAATCTTTGATTTAAGTTGACAGAAGTTTAAAAACTAATAAAACGGACTTTCCTTTGTTCAGTATACAAACACAGACATAAAATTTATCTTGTTAGTCTTAGATTATAGAGAAATGGACTCGACAAATAGCCGACAACTTACTAAATTCTGCCACGTTTCTGACAATTGCCAATTTGGGGGGGTTAATTAAAGAACGCAAACTGACAAAAAGAACACTATATTAAGATCACAAGAAAGCACATTTAAACGTATTTTTTGATTTTATTTCACAGATTTTCAACGCTCCACTGGTCCTGTCTCTTTTAATTCAAAGTCGATTAGTTAACTAAGTTTTACTTCGAATCTAATCAGCATTATAGTTTGACAGTTAAACTTTGAGGTTATGTTGCCAATTCATTGGTTAGTTTATAATTTGGGATGGAAAAACATTTCTTAATATCTTTGTTGACTATATCAGCGTTAAACATTTTAACCAAAGTATATTTTAAACGAAAGATTTAAAAAAAAATCGCCAATGTACTCTTGCATACATCAGACACTTTCTACTAAAAGGTCTCTCAAAATTTGCCGTTTCTAAAATTACACGATACATAGTCGTCGCTTTGCTGAAACGAGTAAAAAATTTAAAACATGATTTTTGGTATAATAAACGCAATTACATCACGTGCACGAAATAACAGTAACAGCCTTGCTCGGTATTTTTTTTTAAATTGTGTTTTTTGGTAATTATATTTAAGTACGAATTACTAATAAAATGATGAAATATGAATAATATTTTTCCATCTTACCGATAGAAAAAGTTAAGTTTATGTTTTAGTTGATTATCGATAAAACACGAATAAAATGACATTTTCTAAAAATGATTCCTAGCTAGATCGATTTATCGCCCCCGAAACCCCCTATAAGATAAGATTAGTAATAAATCTTAATACCTTTTTATTTATTACGTTCGTATCCTGCAGCTATTATTAATTTATAAAAAAAAGGAATTTCAATGTAGATTAAAAAAATCAGCGTTCCTTCATTAACTCGTGTCATTACCAATAACCGCAAAGTTTTAATATAACTGCTACAGCTTTAAATAGCTTGTCGATAACTGTTATGTAAGCAGTTATAACGGTGTTATATTTTTGTAGTCTGTGATTTTTTGAACGTAAAATTGTGTGAATATTTGCTTTTTTTTAAATTAAATTAGAATAGTGTTTTTTACGTTTTTATTCACAAATAAATATTTAAATAGCTCATATGAGCAATGATTGTTGTGCAAATTGTCAACTTTTCAGGAAAGGCTTTCAAAGTTTGAATCTTACTTCTAACTAATCTCACTAATATTATAAATACGAATATTTAGATGGATGTATGTTTGTTAGAATGTATCTCCAAAACGGCTCCATAGATTTCGCTGAAGTTTGGTATAGAGAAAATAACCTGGAAGAAGACATACGCTACTTTTAAAGTTTTTTTTAATTACGCGCGAACGGAGTCGCGAGCAACAGCACGTTTGACATAGTTGTTTACATGCTTTGCAAAATTACTAAGATAGATATGTTCTTTACTCTAATTATATAAATATTAATAACTGTATTTTGTGTTATTTTTACAACAAAAAAAACTTATGAAAATGCCCAAATGTCACTTTGAAATTTTGACGTTTATTTTGTAAAATAATAAAACCTCTTTTGTATAAAACATTTGATATCGATTCTTTCATAATTGTCAAGCAAAATGTTTTTTATTTCTGACAATTATCTGTCAAAAATGAAAATTTTCCCGTAAATGATACACGCCCCGGATCGATCAGGTAATATATTTTAAATTCGAACTAAATATTCAAGTCCCTGTCATAAAAATTAGCAAACATACGCGAAAGCGAAACGTTTAATATTGCAGGCGCGTTCACTATTTTGAATAAACAGAGACGTATAGAGAATTGTTTAATCTCATCCATTCCTTTTAAGAAAAGGGAAGGAAAGAAAAGGATGTCAACTAGAATTTTTAACCGCCACGTTATACATCGGGCGATTCGTGGAAGAAATTAGATTTGACGCGTTACGTTGCACCGAGTGTAACATGCGTTTAGCATTGACTTTACTATTGTTAAATTGTAATTTGAAATATGTACAAAGCTCTAAGCTTAGATTTTCAATGTCGATATCATCAAAATTCTATGCAATTTTTACTTTAGTTTATATGAAAGAACTTTAAAGGGCCCTCTCAGAACAATCTATACATTTATTTCAGGACCCTACCATGAAACATATCAAAGAAGCATGATTAAACAATAAAAATGCCTAAATCCAAATCCAGAGAAGTTAAAATTGTCCACTCAGATAAACGTATAGCTAAACTAGATGACGAATCATTAAGAAATTTAACAGACTCTGATGGGCCCTGCAATGAATGCATCTGCAATTTAATAGACCCTCCGAAACCACCTTTTGACTTACGAAATGCTATACGAAGTGCCATCGACACATTACAAATGTACACAGACTCAACTGCAAAGGCCCTAGGGATTACCTCATCTACTAATCTAGCAGGGCCCAGTGAAAAGGGCAAGGAAAAAGAAAAAGCTAAAGGAGGGAAAAAGTAAGCATTTTAGCTCTTATATAAATAATCCTATCTTACAATTTTTACTACATTCACAAGGTTTATTTGTTAATAACTAGTTGTCGCCCGCGACTTCGTCTGCGCGGAATTGAATAATAAGTAGCCTATGTGTTCTTTAACACTACGTTCTACGTCTGCGCCAAATTTCATCAATATACATTGAGTCGTTTCGGAGATTTCTAACAAACATACATCCATCTAAACTTTCGCATTTATAATATTAGTAAGATTAAGCTAAAACCTAAGAATTAAGTAGTACATATATTCGTCGGTGGCGGTGGTGGCGTCGGTGACTCAGTGGTCAAGCACTTGACTTGCAATCTGCAGCTCCTGGGTTCAAATCCCGTCATGTACCAAAGTGTTACATATGTACATTTATCTTATGTTGTTAGTGTGAAGGAAAATATGTTGATGCTGCACATATCTGAGAATGTCAAAGATATGTGTGAAGTCAACCTGCACTTGACCAGCGTGGTTGACTATGACCTAATCACATAACTTAGGGTAGACTCCGAGCCCCTCATTGGGGACGTATAGTGAGCTGATGATGATGATGATATTGCATTAAATAATTGTAATGATGTATTAAAAATCATGTATAATTTAATTCAACAATTATTTACATTGGAAACGTATTTTTTATACGTAAATCCAGTAAAATAGTATCTTAAACCTCTTTATTTAAACTGTAATGATTTTTTTGTAATATATTACTTTATTTCTAGCATAAATATTAGACGACAAATTTTATTAATAATTAACGACAAATATTATTTTAGGAAATAATCTTCATCACGATGACGTTGGAACAATTGAAACAACTAGAAACTAAATCTTTAAAGGGCCTCAAAGAGAACGTTTCGGGGCCCTGCGATGAATGCATTTGTGCTATATTAACCACTCCAGCGGATGTTTTGACACGTGGGAATTGTTTCAAAAGATTTTTCTCGTGCTTTATAAAAACTAAGAAAGCGAAAAGTATGAAATCCATAAATAGTGGAGTTAAAAAGAAAAAACCGGTGAAGAGTAAACGATATACATCGAAACCGGTTAAAAAAACGAAAGGTAATCGATTTAAAATAACAAGATGTTGATTTGACTAATAAAATATGATTATTCATTATTTTGTTTCATTTATTTTAAACCTGTAATGAATCTTACTAGTATTATAAAGCAGCTATCGCCTGAAACCCTCTTTTAAATAAACTTAGTAGCCTTCAAGACTGTTTTACATTTATGCCCTTAAGCGAGATTTAACAGTGGTAGAGCGAGCTTTAACATCTTCACACGAATTGTCCCGGCTCGCTCAGTGAAATACCACGACCACACAGAAGACAGACGTCAAGTGGAAGCTATTCCGCGTTTCGTCTGATGAGTGTGCGTCCCGGAGGCCAAAATTAGTCCTCTCCCTTCCCGTCATATTTCTTATAAGGAAAGGATGGGAAGTGGAAGAGGACTTTCCGGATGAGAGGATGCATGGAAAGGGAAAATATTTTCTTTCTGTGCATCCTCTCCTCCGTCGTTTAAAGGAAGGCAGCGCTTATGCAGTTGCGTATGTCTATGGGCAACGGTCACTACGCTATTTCAGCGATTTCAGGTGGCCGCTCGCTCGTTTGCCATCTTATGATATAAACAAAAAAAAAGCCTTCAAGACTGTTCTACATCTATGCCCTTAAGCGAGATCTACGCAGTCCTTCTAGAGATGCTTTCTAACAGACATCTATTCAAACTTTCCCATATTAAGATGTGAATGTGTAGATGTTTGTTAGAAGATATCTCTAGAATGTCTTCATGGATCTCGCTGAAATTTGGCATTAAATCTTATATCTTTAAATGAGCAATTCTTGTATATATATAATTGGAATCTCGGAATCGGCTCCAAGGATTTTCATAAAATTTAGTATATAGGGGGTTTCGGGGGCGATAAATCGATCTAGCTAGGAATCATTTTTAGAAAATGTCATTTTATTCGTGTTTTATCGATAATCAACTAAAACATAAACTTAACTATTTCTGTCGGTAAGATCGAAAAATATTATTCATATTTCATCATTTTATTAGTAATTCCTACTTAAATATAATTTCCAAAAAACACAATTTAAAAAAATACCGGTCATCCAGATTTTAACATATTAAAAACGAATAATTAACTAAAATATATTATTAAAAGGAGTCCCTTTAGGCAAGGTTACGAAGATACTGGCAGCGTTCCCCCTTTGGATAGCTAAACTGATTCTTTGTCCGAGATAGCTGCCAGCTCTTCGGTACCCTGTGATGTCGATTCACTTTTTTTGTCTTTGGAAGAACACATAGGTTACTTATTAAGTTTATAATTCTACGCAGACGTAGTCGCGGGCGACAGCTAGTATTTTATAAAAGAAAGCTATGCCGTACTTTACTGGCATGTAACTAGGCGTAAGTGAGAAATTATTTATTTGGTTATATATACGTTAAAAAAATATTATTTATAACACTTAAGCTTGTGCTTAAAATGTCTTTATTTATTTTCATTTACAATATTATATAGCGTCCATTATCTCCATATACATGAGCACTCTATAACTTAATGTTTTCTTTAGTAATAGAGCTCTTGGTTAAATGGTTAATATACATCGCTTTTGCATTAGTCGACTATTCAATGAATGGTTATTAACACTTTGGATAATATTTGCTTGAATATACGACTTACGCAAGACACACACGTTAGGTAGAACTTTTATAATGTGCCCGTACATGGGTTAGTTTTTTTTTGTGACTGAGTAGTCACTGTTTGCCTTGAGGAGGCATTTACAGCTTCACCGGGCTTGAGGTGGCCGAGCGTAGATGGCGCTTAGCCTGAACCTCGTTTTAGAGTAACAAGACTCGAGGGCTCGGGCTGTTACTTCGTTATTTTTACCGGATTGGGAGGTCACCGAGCTCTTAGGTCGCTTAAGTGGACGCTCCATGGAGTGACTGGACTCAAGGGCCCCCGAGAGGGGACCTCGGCAAAAACACATTGGTACATGACGGGATTCGAACCCAGGACCTGCAGATTGCTCCAAGAGGTGGGTCTCTATAAACCCTAGGCGGCACCAGCGGGAGAGGACGGAGAATCTCGAACCTGCATTGTATGGTGCCGTCTCTGAGGAGCGCCTACGGGTGCAGCGCCCCATTGGGGGCGCATTGAGGAGTCCTATTCTCGGGCTGGTTAGTGGGGCGTCCCGGTAAGTAACACGATCACGTGGCGTCCCACATTATGGCTATGAGGTAACAGAGCGGTTTAGTGGGTTTGCTCCATTCGGGGAGAGAATCCCACATAACTACTGTTCCTGTTACTGTGCCTTCCCCGAGGCACGGAGTATGCCTAAAGCATTCACCTGTGAAAAAAAGGACCTGTAGATTGCTAGTCAAGTGTTTAACTCCTACGCTACCTACGCCTTGCGTTTGCCTATCGTTCAACTTTGCTATACGTCTACGCCGTCAAAACTAATTCCTATTCTTTTCTTAAAATAAAACGATTGGAAAGGAAAGAACACATAAACATATTGCGTGTAATTTTAATTTATTCAGACATCTATCAGTCAATGATTATAGCCATCTTGAAGATGCTACGGCCATACGATGCTCTCTATCCAGGGTATAAAACCGGCCACACGTGTGTAGATGGCCGGTTGACCAGGATGGCCACACTCTCTCCCCCATGACGTGATGCCGACAACAGAGTACATACAATATATCTGAGGGTGCTTTATCTGTGCTGGACCACCACTGTCACCCTGCAAATTAAAGTAATAAATTTTATAGGAGAAGGGGGCAAACGAGCAACGAATCGCCTAATATTATTCGATCCGACGCCCATGGCCATCCGCAGCGCCAGAGGAACTGCAGATGCGTTGCCGGCATTTAAGGAAGGTGTACGCTTTTTTCTTGAAGACGTAACTAAGTCGTAACTGTTTCTACAGTCCTATATAAATAGACAGGCGATAATATGTAGCAATTTGTGCCTATTTGATTATCGCCATTTTGACGCTGATGATTACGGTTTGTGGTCGTGTGGATTCGAGCTAATAGTCTTACTAGTATTATAAACTAGCTGTAGCCCGCGACGCCGTCCGCGTGGATATATAAAAAAAAACTTAATGTATGGATAAGTTAAATAAAAACTAGCTCTTCAAGGCATAAATTCGAAAAGAAAAAGAATAAAGAGCAAGGAATTTATACCTTGAAGAGCTGCTTATTATTTAACTTACTAACATTATAAATACGAATGTTTAGATGGATGTGATGTGGATGGATGGGTGTTTGAAGATATATGTAGAACGACTGAACGGATCTCGAATAAATTTGGCATACGTATAGAATATAGTCTGAAAGAACACATAGACTACACTAATTAAGTTTTTTTATATATCCACGCAGACGGAGTCGCGGGCGACAGCTAATTCATATTAGAAAAGCCTAAATGTACAAATAAATATCTTCGTAATGGTGATAATCCTAGACAATAGATGGCGCTATTTTATATAGTCATATCTCATATAAACCCAGTCTGTTGGTTTTTTTTTCTGACTGAGTAGTCACTGTTTGCCTTGAGGAGGCAATTACAGCTTCACCGGGCTTGAGGTGGCCGAGTGCAGATGGCGCTTAGCCTAAACCTCGTTTAAGAGTGACAAGACTCGAGGGCTCCCTCAGGAGCCTCGGCTGGGGCTGTTACTTCGTTATTGTTCCCGGATTGGGAGGTCACCGAGCTCTTAGGTCGTTTAGGTGGACGCTCCATGGAGTGACTGGATTCAAGGGCCCCCTAGAGGGGATGTCGGCTTGGGCTGTCACTCATTACGCGTTTAGCATTCAAGGGTGCCCGAGAGGTCTGTTGGGTGTTTTTTTATTTAAGAGTATTTTATGATAATAACTTACATTACAGCTGTCTTTCTTCTTATGCCAATCACCGAAACACATCTGAGTTGTACTATTATAACCTTTTTTCATATGTCTCATGCCCCGACTGTTTGGTGCGTAAGTTCTGGAACAATCTTCGTCAGAGAACTTCTGGAGAGTCACCTAAAAATGAATATCATTAACCGTGGGTTTCTAACAACAATATCTCTGTTTTTTATATCATAAGATGGCAAACGAGCGAGCGGTCACCTGAAATCGCTAATAAAGCGAAGTGACCGCCCATAGACATACGCAATTGCATATGCGTTGCCTACCTTTAATCCACGGAGGAGAGGATGCATAGAAAGAAAATATTTTATATATAAAATTCTCGTGTTACAATTTTCGTTCCCATACTCCTTCGAAACGGTTCGACCGATTCTCATGAAATTTTGTGAGCATATTAAGTAGGTCTGAGAATCAACCAACATTTTTTTTTAATCCCGCGCGGACGGAGTCGCGGGCGACAGCTAGTGTCTAAAAGTACTTATATTTTTAGTTTAATACCTCACTACAGTTACCAACAGTCAGCGTCATAATGAGGATCAAATAGGCACAAAAT